CACGCGCACACTCACACGCACTTGTACACACACACGCACACACGCACACGCTCACGCACACACACGCACACACACACACGTACGCACGCGCACATACGCAGGTACGCACACGCACACGCACACGCACACGCACTCGCTCACACACGCGCACACACACATTCACACGCACACACACACACACACACACACACACACACACGCACAGAAACACATACACAAACACACAAGAACACATTTTTGGAGGAAGGTGCAGCCCGCCCCCCGCCACACACCCCAGCGGAGGGGTCAAGATCTCTGGGAACAGTGGGTGCGAGAGCTGCGCTCTGCGGCCACCGCTCGGCGGCGAGCGAGGGGGGATAACTGCGAAGGAGCAGGCCTTCTCAGAAGGCGGCGGGACTTCTCAGAGAGCCCTCGCGCCTTCTGGGAAGTTCGCCGCCGAACTTCACCTGTCCTGGCCGGGCCTGTCCAGGGGTAGGCGTCCGCGCTCTCATGGCCTGGCCGGGGATGCAGCACCCAGGTCACCCAAGGAGGCGCGAGGCGTGCCGCGCTTCGCGCGTCCGCGGTCTCGGCCTGAGCGGCTGCCCTTCTCCACGAAGGCGGCGCGGGGGCGCGATGGCGCAAAGATAGCCGCGCGCCGCGCACCGCGGGGCGCGCGGCGCGAGGTCAAGTGCCACAGACTCGACACCGATCCTGGGCCCTGGATCGGCCTGGCCCGGATCGGCGAGTTGGTCTCTTGGCACCCCCCGCCGAGCTGGCGGGCGTCCCCCGATGAATTTTTGCCGGCGGCGTCCCCCCCATCCTCCTTCCTGCGCGCTCGCCGCGCCGTCCTCGCTCGTTTTCTCCTTCTCCTCCTCCTCCTCCTCCTCCTCCTCCTCCTCCTCCTCCTTCTCCCCCCTCTCCTCCCCCTCCTCCTCCCCTCCTCCTCCTCCTCTCCTCCTCCTCCTCCTCCTCCTCCTCCTCCTCCTCCTCCTCCTCCTCCCCCTCCTCCCCCTGCCCCTGTCCTGCTGTGCGCCAGGGTGCCCAGACATCCCGTGGGCTGGTTGTTTGGAAGTCTGGCATTGTTTCCCACAGATTATTCGGCCCCTGCGGGCCATATTCGGACTTCTGGGCAGTCCTGGTGCCGTGGATTGGGCAGATCGCATCGCAGGATATCTGGGGTGGGGTTGGGGGCGCTTGGTCTGCTTCCCCTCGTCGCTGGCCAGACAATCCAGCATCGCCACCAAGGCCAACCCGTCCATGCCGCCGCATTATTCGCTGTCTAGGCAGTCCGTCATCGAACAGTGTGAGACCTCACTGGACAGACTAGGGTTGGACTGTGTTGACCTGTTCTATCTCCACTCACCTGATATACGTACGAGTATTGACGACACCCTTGATGGAGTTGATTATCTGCACAAGGCGGGCAAGATTGTGGAGTTCGGCTTGTCCAATTACCCGGCCTGGGCAATTGTTGACATATGGCACCGATGCAAAGCAAGGGGAATAGTGCTGCCAACTGTGTATCAGGGCATGTACAATGTTATTACTCGCGATTTTGAGCGAGAGGTTGTGCCTGTGGCCCGGCAATTTGGACTCCGGCTGTACATGTACAATCCTTTGGCCGGTGGTCTGCTGTCGGGGCGCTACTCGAGCGTGGAGGACTTGGCGAATGTGTCCAAGGGGCGCTTTTCGACAGAGTTCGACGCGGCTTTCGGCGGGGGCGTGAAGGCTGGCACGGGTCTGTATCGGGGCAGGTACATGGGGAACAAAAAGATTACACTAATACAAAAACCTCGGAGGTCCGCGCGGACTCCTCGCACCGGCGCTGGCCCCGGCGCGCCCCGCGCGCCAGGGAGAGGGGCCCAGCGCCGATCCGAGGACTCCGGGAGGACCTTCGAGTTTTTATGTTGCTGCTTCTGCTTGCTCCCCTATAAGGTACTCCAAGGCGGCGATTTTTGGAGGCCTGGAGCTGCTCCGCGAGGCCTGTGCTCCGGTGCACGCGGGCGGCGAGCCGGCACGCAGCGAGGCGCCGGGGCATGCAGTTTCACCCACGCCCGAAGAGGAAGCACTTCGCCTTTGGTTTTTGGGGAAGTGAGGTCGGGACACCAACAGTGACACGAGCATAGAAAGTCGCGGAGGTCGGCGCAAATTTGTCGGACCGGCGCTGGAGCCCCCGGACGGCGCCCCCGGCGCCGCCCCTGGCGCGCTTCGCGCGCCGGGGAGGGGGGGTCCAGCGCCGATGGGAGAATTCTGCGCGGACCTCAGAGTTTTATGTTTATGCCATTGTTCCCCACATGCTTCGTGGGGTTCTTGTTTTCTTCTCTGCCGTGTCCCACCCGCGCTCACTCACTCACCTCCCTCTTCCCCCCCCTCCTGACAGCACAGCACAGCACATCACAGCACAGCACTGTTCAGCACAGCTCAGCATAGCTCAGCTCAGCTCCGCACAGCACAGCACAGCACAGTTCAGCTCAGCTCAGCACAGCACAGCACAGCCCAGCTCGGCACAGCACAGCACAGAACAGCTCAGGTCGTCCAGGGCATGGCAGGAGTGGCACTTTCTCGACACCATAATTAGGAGGTGCACAGGGGGTGGTCCCTGAGCGCGACCGCTATCCGAGACGGTCGGTCCAGGGCATAGCAGGCGTGGCATTTTCCGACAACATAGGAGGTGCGCAGGGGGTGGTCCTTGAGCGCGGCCACTATTCGAGACGGTCGTCCAGGGCATAGCCAGCGTGGCATTTTCCGACACCATAGGAGATGCGCAGGGGGTGGTCCTTGAGCGCGGCCGCTATCCGAGACGGTCGTCCAGAGCATAGCAGGCGTGGCATTTTCCGACACCATAGTTGCGCAGGGGTTGGTCCCTGAGCGCGGCCGCTATCCGAGACGGTCGTCCAGAGCATAGCAGGCGTGGCATTTTCCGACACCATAGGAGGTGCGCAGGGGGTGCTCTCTGAGCGCGGCCGCTATCCGAGACGGTCGTCCAGGGCATAGCAGGCGTGGCACTGTCCGACACCATGGGAGGTGCGCAGGGGGTGGTCCCTGAGCGCGGCCGCTATCCGAGACGGTCGTCCAGGGCATAGCAGGCGTGGCATTTTCCGACACCATGGGAGGTGCGCAGGGGTTGGTCCCTGAGCGCGGCCGCTATCCGAGACGGTCGTCCAGGGCATAGCAGGCGTGGCATTTTCCGACACCAGATGTTTCGGGCCGGCGCTGGAGCCTCCTGACGGCGCCCCCGGCGCCGCCCCTGGCGCGCTGCGCGCGCCGGGGGGAGGGGGGTCCAGCGCCGAGGGGAGAAATCTGCGCGGACCTCAGAGTCTTCTGTTTACGTCCTTGTTTGTTCCCCGAGGGAAGGGAGAAGCGACACCACCACCACCACCACCCTCCCTTGGGGCCACCTCCAGCGAGGAGGTCTGCGAAGCCTCCCCAGGCCGACGATGGAGGATGTCTCGAGCGAGAGGGGGGGCCACGCCACAAGGAGTACCCCCCTGGCTGCTCCCGCTCGTGGTCCCTGTTGTTGGGGGTGTCGTTCTTTCTTGGTTTTCATTTTGTCAGGCGACGACCGTCCTGTCACGCCTCTTCGGTAGCAACTCATGGGAACCCGATATGTCCTGGAAGTTGTCATCGCTAGGGTGCATTCGCGTGCGCCATCGTCAGGTAATTGATAAGAATACTCGTGTCGATTAGCGTTGATGTGGCGTCGATATTTTGTCCGTGAGCGTCGTTTGCCGTAACTAGATGCGCAAGGGCCGGCAAGATAACATTGGAGGCTCCCGTGAGTTGCCACAGGACGTTTCCCGCGTCGGGAACAGAGACAGCTGCCCTCCGAACATATTCTCTGCTCCCCAGGAACACAAATCCCTATCAACCTCTGGATATCGAGGGCTATTGAGCAATACGCATATACACATATACACATATATATCTATATACACATACATGTGCATACACATGTATACATTTGCATATATATATATACACATGTATATATATATATATATATATATATATATATATATATATATATATATAGGTATGCCGACCCCAGCACGGAGGCGTGCCCCTGCCCTTGTCTCTGAGTGGCCTCGCTGCCGCGCACGTCCGCCGCGGCGTTGTGCGGAAGGCCGGGGTCCAGGCGAATGGTGGTCGGGGACGAGTGGGGGGGGGAGATGGTGAAGCGTTTTCTAGCTTCGTCAATTCAGAGAGTGGTGTTCAATCAGAGGTCCTCCTCCCTCCTTCCCTCCGTCCTTCCCCCCTTTCTTCCACTGTTTCTTGCCTCCTCTGTTCTCTCTCCCTTCTCTCTCTCTCTCTCTCCTTCCTCCCTCCCTCCCTTCTCCCTCCCTCCCTCCCTATACCCCTCCCCCTCCTCCTCCCTCCTCTCGCCCTCCTCCGCATCCCCTCTCCCACTGTCTCCCACAGCTTTCTCTCTCCCTCCTCTCCTCCACACCCCCTCCTCCTCCTCCTCCTCTCCTCTTCCCTCCCTCCCTCCCTCCCTCCCCCCTCCCTCCATTCGCCCCTCCCCTCTCTCTCCCTCCCTCCTACCTTCCTGTCCTACATTCCCTCATCCTCCCCCTCCTCTTTCTCCCTCCTCTCGCCCCCTCCCGTCCACCCACCGTGCGCACCGCTCCCGGACGCGCGTTGAGCCGCGGATGCTCTAAGCTGGAGTACTGGGTCTGGCGCAAATGGGTCGTCTGCAGGAGATGCAATTGTTCATTGATTTTTTCGGCGTGCAAACAGGACGGAACTATTTTGGGGGAGGGGGGGCGCCAGTTAATTGACGGGTGGCAGAGGTTGCAGATGGCACAGGATGATTAAGGCATCCGCGCTCAAGCATTGCATCTGCCGGGCAAGTTAGCGCGTCCATGTTCCAAGTTTTGCCAGTATTGTTGCACTTCTTCCCGCGGACTCACCTGCGCCTTACCCACGTCTCCGGCTTAAAGTTGTTGCGGTTTGGACGAGCGGGAGAATCCAGTCAAGAGGCCGAAGTAAGTGCCCGTTTGGGCACCCGACGGGGCTATTGTTTTGGGATTGTTCCTCAGGTCCAGGTCGGGAAGCGGATTCGTGGCCGAGGCTCGCCGTGGCCAGACGAAAGCTTCTTCGTTCTTTGTTCGGCGTTCCTCATGGTCACACCATGATTGCGTGTTTGGCTGATACACTTATTCGGCCCAGTGGTGGATTGATGATGGTAGCACTTTTGCCCACGGGTGGGGCTGTTGAACATGTAGTTTGGGGATGTGTGGTTGGCAATGTAAACAGAGGGTGCGTATGTCTCGCTGGTAGTCGCATCCGCCTTCGTGGAGCGTGGGCGGCTGCATCGCCTGGTTAGGATCGGTTGGCAGCTGTGCCAAATAAGTCATGATGTGGTGGTGGCTGTTCGACCTGTGTGTGTGTGTGGTGGTGGGGGGGGCAGGGGGGCAGGCACCAGAGTGGCGATGCGCTTTCACTGAGGCTCGCCCCTCGGCATTGGGGTGTCACTAGGCGACTGTCCTGTTACCATCGCCGTGCAAGCCCGACCTCAGAAGACGGAACGGGGACCCGTCACGCCCCCGTGGAGAGCGCGCTGTCGCGGTCACTCCTTGCACGGGCCGTGGCTGCAGAAGGCGTGCCGTGCTTCTCGAGGCCAGCGGCATCCCATAGCGGAGGTCGGGCTCCCTCTTGGCTCACAAGCACAGCACACTTGGAGGAGGAGGCAGAAGATGAGGATGAGGGGGAGGATAAAGGAGGAGTAAAGGCAATGACAAGAGAGGAGAACATGAGGAGAGGGAGGACGCAGAGGAGGGGGAGGAAGATGAGGAGGAGGAGGAGGAGACGCATGAGGCATCTACTTACATATATCGATCGCTGCTTCGTCTCATTCCCGAGTTGGGTGATGAATCAACTCTATGTGGCAGGACAGTGTCTGGAGATGGCCGAGGTCCTGGACGCCAAGGAGGTGTCGGACCATGCGCCTGTATTTATCCAGTTGTCCAGCAGCCCTCCGCGTCCGGTGGAAGATATCCCGATTCCGAAAACGGTTTGCGAACATCCTGAGTTTCGGGTCTTTCTGGAGCGTATCTGGGACCTTGCCAAGGACGAGTATATGACCCCGCCCATGCTTCTGGACTTCCACACTCGGATGATCAGGGAGGCTGCTAGGCACGTTAGGAACCTGCTGATCAGGCGCTTCCCAGGCGACCTGTTCGCTCGGCACGTGGTGCTCAAGAGCATCGCGCGTGCTGTCTGGCGCCAGGACGTGGTTCTGGCTGGTCGTATCTTAGGATCGCACCCCCTCGGAGACAAGTACTTGGAGCTAGATCCTATCTCCCAGAAGGTCTCCCTCAAGGCCCCCAACGAGTACCTTTTGGACACCTACCAGACCCATAAGAAGATAGCTGACAAGGAGGAGGGGGAGGTTAAGAGGAGGCTGTCCAAAACAGAAGACGAGACCCAGAAGAGTAAGCTCCGTCGTCGTCTCCGAGGCGTGGTTGCCCGCGCTCGCCTGTGGTCGCCCTTCGACCGCAGGATGTCCCTTGCTGCTGTTCGACACGCTGGAGGGGTCAGCACGTCGCCTGCCGAAAAACTAGCGCGACTGGCAGAGTACTGGTCACAGGTCTTTCGAGCTCGTGAGATCGATAGAACAGCAGCTGAACAATATCTTGATAAGTTTGCTCCTCAGTGTCCTCTTCTTCGGGACCTCCCGCCACCGACTCAACATCATATTCAGCAAAAGTTGGAGCGTGCTGTAAACAGTGCCCCAGGTCCTGACGGGGTCCCCTATGCAGGTTGGCGTTATCACCCATATGGGGCGGTGGTCTTGGACAAGGCACTCTGGTGGGTTCTCTCTGGGCAGCATCTCTATGGGAGCTTCAATGAGATCCGAGGAGTATTCATCCCGAAGGGCTCTGAGGAAGGTGACCTGGACGGGTCCATCACGAGGGATGCGTCCTCCACGAGGCCTTTGGGGCTCAAGAACACTTCGAACAAGGTGCTCACATCGGTCGTCGTGCATGGCCTCGGGAAGGCCACCTCGAAGTTCGTGCACTTCATTCAGCGGGGCTTCGTCCCAGGCAGAAACTTCGGCGTCAACATACTGGAAATGGACACACAGGCACGGATTGTTTCATCGGCTCCTTCGCCATTGCTCAAGCTACCTGCTCTCGTTACATATGACTACGGCCAGGCGTTCCCGTCCATCTCGCACGAATGGGTGTTCATGGTCCTGGCGAGGTTGCGCTTGCCTGGTCCCATGCTGTTCTTCTTCCACGCTATCTATGATCACATTCGGTGCTTTGGCGCTGCTGCTGATGTGAAGGTCCTTCTTTACCTGATCACGAGCGGGGTGCTCCAGGGCTGCCCGGCCTCTGGCGTGCTGTACGCGCTGGCAGCTCACGCTTTCCTAGCAGACATGCATGAGAGGATTGAGGTGGCTTCGCGTCTTCGCAGCTTGGCGCGTGCTTGCGCTGATGATGTGGGAGGCGTCATTCATGAGTTGGGTATGCTGCGGGAGTTCAAAGTGATCTTTGATATGAGTAAAAGAATTGCGGGCCTCGAGCTGAAGATTCGCAAGTGCTGCATAGTTCCATTGGCTGGACCTTTTACCCCAGAACTTGCTGGCCGTTATCGCTGCTGGCTGAACACTCACATACCTGAATGGGCTGGCTTTCAGATCATAGACGCGGCGCTCTACTTGGGCGTGATTCTTGGTCCAGCTGCAGGAGACCGTAGCTGGAAGGCCCCACTCCTGAAGTGGGTGAGGCGCGCGGCCCAGACTAGTGCTGCGAATTGCCCCGCGGCCATCACAACCTACCTGTATAATAAGCGATGCGTCTCTGTCCTCTCATACGTTGCCCAGTTTCTCCCGCTGCCTCTCTCGCCATCCTGTCTTGCTAGCCCCACGCTTCGCTGTGAGCACGCTCTGTTCTCGTCTCTGTTCAAAGTCCCATTCTGCTGCCTCTCGCGCGCGGGTTGGTTTGAATTGGATAGGTGGGGTGGCCCACCGCTCGCCTCCGTCCTAGCTCTGTCGCTGGGCACGCTGCAACGCTCAGCCTTAGTCACTTTTCCCGAATGGAGGATCTTGTATAGGAAGCTCGAAGCGGCCACTCCTCAGCTGGCTCTTGCGGATTTGGCTACGAATAAGCGTGGCCTCCTCAGCCCTGGCTTCTGGGAGGCCGACCCGCTTGTGGTCAACCTGAAAGTCGCCGCTGAAGGATTCGCCTCGATCCGCCCGTGGAAGAAAGCAGGTGCCTGTGGACTTTCCTCCGCCCTTGACCTCCTGCGTGCCTCGAGCGCCTCCGCTGCTGATGCCGCTGCTCCCGCTCGTCCTAAAATCCAAGGCCCTGTTGTTAGAGCTATTCGCGAGAGCCTGTACCCTGCCTGTCTCGAGGAGCAATTTCGTGCCCGTTTGTCCGCCGTGTGGCCCGAGCTGGGTCCGAGGTTTGCCGTGGTTGATCTGAAGACTTATTGCTCCTTGATGAAGGCAGTCCCCTTCCATGTCGCCCAAGCTGTGTGGAAAACTCTCGCAGCGGCGTGGACGACATCGGAGCGCATGCACAGTAAGGCACGCTCGAAATGCATTATAGGTTGTGATGGCCGCGACACTTTTAAACACTATTTCTCGGAATGTCCATGCTTCCGTCAGTCGTGGACCCGTGTGATCGGTTATGGGCTCCCATCCTGTCCTGTCGCTCTGTTTGGCTTTCTCGCTGACCCTCCCCGTCCGAATGTCTTGGACCTTCCTGCTGCTGCTTACATCCTTCACACCCTGGCACGTGCTCGCTTTAACGCGCAGGGCACGTTGTCCGCCGAGCAAATTCAAGGGCTAGTGCCTCAGGCACGGGCCACTCTCCGGCGCGGGCGTGGCGGTCGCGGCTAAGGAGACTTGCGGCGCCGCGGCTACGTGCGAGGAGGAGACGCATGAGGCGGAAGAGAAGGACGAGGAGGTGGGGAGGAGGAGGAGATGAAGGGGGGGAATTTGGAATAGCGACGGAGGAGGAGTTTGTGGAGGAGGAGAGGGAGGTGGAAGAGGAGGACATGCCTCCTTCAGAAGCTCTCCTCGCTGTTGCCCGCGGTTGGCTGCGAGCTGGCTGCCCTCTGACAGGCTGCCCCGGCGGTGCAGAAGTCTGTCAGCGAGGTGCAGAATGGCATCCGCGTCACGGTGGAGGTATCCAGGGCCGCTGAAACCGCTTTCATCGTGAGTTCCGGCCTCCTCCACGTCTACCCCGATCGTCCCACTCCCCTTCCTCCCCCCTCCACGCCCCCCCAGGCGGGCCCAGTCTCACTTCCCCGTTGGTGTTTTGGCTGTCAGCAGGTGACGGAGGTGCCCGAGAAGGCAGCTCCCACCAGGGAGGGCGTTGCCATGGCAAGCGTGGCGCTGCGCTGGCTCCTTCACCATTCCCTTCTGCGACCAGGAGACGGTGTGATTTTGGGAGTGTCCAAGGTGTGGGCGGCGCGCACAGGGGGGGGGGCGCTAGGGGAGAGGTAGTCCAAGTAGGCAGGTTGCTTCACTTCATGGATGGCAGGTGCCTTCTTAGAGTGTCCCCGGCGGCTTTGAGAAGACTTGCCAGAAGCCAGAAGTTTGGAGGGCGGGTTTTCAGATGCCACCCGCCTTACAGGCTGCCAAGGGCTTTCTCACAGAAGGCCAGGCCCCACTCCGCACCATCCCCTGGTGCGCGTCGCTAGCAAGGTGGACCACCTGGTCGCCAATCTGGCGGCCTGGCACGCCGGGCCGCTTCCCGCCTATCTCGGCGACTACAACGGGTCTGGTTGCGCCGAGGTGTGGTTTGCGATCGGCACCGTCGAGGCCTGGGGGGCACGACACTGTCTTCGTCGGGCCTCCTCGGGGCGCGGTGGAGAGCTCTGTCGAGGTCCTCGCCCGCCCCCCAGGGTGCCCCTCGGGATGCCGGTTGCAAGCCACGCCCTTTGCAAACCACAGCCTTCGGAGTCGCCGCTCGTCTCCTGGACGCCTGCAACGCTGCCTGGGAGGCTGCCAGGCCCGCGTGCGAGGTCTACTTCCGGGGCTACGGGGAGAAGCCGGGCGGCATAGGTCAGAGGGGGTGAGTTTGGCGCCTGCCCCATGCCTGCCCTCCACCCCCTCCACCTCGATGCTCGGGTTGACCCAAAAGGGGGTCCAGCGACAAGGGGGTGGTGCAATAGATTTGGTGCAATAGATTTGTGGGGTTGCAATACATTTGGGGCATGCAACACATTCCAGGGCGGAAATGTATTGCTGGGTTGTCGCGTGCAACGCATTCGATGCAATACAATGCAATACAATTCTCCGGCGCAATACATTTGCAATGCAATTGCCCCAAATCTATTGCACCACCCCCTTTCAGCTAGACCCCCTTTTGGGCCACCGAAGGATATGGAAACGTACGGGGGGTGTTCAAGCAGTGGCGAAGCGTCCTGGCGTGCCTGTACTCCTACCAAACCATGTTCGTAGAACCTTTTGTGGCTCCCACAAGAGGCTCTTAGAAGATGTCCGGTTGGGACTGTCTTGTTTTATCACACCGGGTTTATATTCTAAGAACAGTGTTCTTAGAATATTTCTGGGTTCTAGGAACATTTCGTGGTAGGAAGATAGGAATGCCTGGACGGTCGGTCCCTGCTCAAGTTGTGGGATCTGTTGTCTACGTATTTGTGTGTCCCTAGGCGCCTTCAGGAAGATCGGCGGAAGGCGGCGGAAGCAAATGTGAGACGTTATCAGTTTGGGGTGCCGGGCTGCTGGAGTCCTGGCACGTCGAGGCGTGCTAGAGGCGCTGTCTGGCAGGGTGTCTGCAATTTTCTAAGGGCTCCCCTCGGCGCACCCGCCTGCGTGCATCGCCCCCTCTTCCCGAGGCCGCTGTCCTCAGCACAACACAACAGCTCCGCGCTCCCGCGCTTTGAGGCTGCTGAGGCCCGCTGGAGAAGGCAAGGTTTTGGCTCACAGCTGCCTCGGGTGCGTCAGCGTCCTAGCGCATCAGCGTCGGACTGGCCTAAAAATCCCATCCAGAGCGTCCCGGAAGGCTCTCGGAGCCCTCGATGCGCTCTATGGAACGGCTGCGGCGCGCGCCGATTCTCAGAGATTGGAGTCTTCGACGATTGCGATTCGGCATAATCTGCTGTGTGCGAGCCCATCGTAGAAGGAGCGGGTGCAATTTGAAACGGCGAATAACGCCCGCGACGGCTCGGCCTGGCAGAACACAGCTCCTTCGTCTCACAACGTCCCGTGTCCTGGGCCCCGAGTTGGTCGAGGTGCGGGTCGATCCTCGCCGGGCGGGGATGTCTGCGGCCAGCGTCTGAGGCTGAGGGGCGGCGCGCCGGGCCCAGGCCGTCGTCGTCCCAGCTGTCGGCCCTGGGGACTAGACGCGCAGTTGCAATTGCGCGCGGGCGCGAGTTGCCCAACTGGCCCTTGCCGACAGCACCTCTGCCGTTCTCGGTGCTTCACGCTGATGGAACAGAGTCGGGCCGGACGACAGGGGGGGATAGGGAAAGGGGGGGTACGAAATCTGCTGCATGCAGCTTGTTTCGGCCCCGCCGCCGGGCCCACTCCTCGAATACATGGGCGCCTCCCGGCGCTGGGAGGCGCCGGGGAAATCAGCTACGTGAGCTGATTCTCGAACCCCCCCTTTGCTATCTCCCCCTTTCGCCCGACCCGGCAGAGGCCGACAGGAACAGAGTGGCCCTTGCAACAGTACGTGTGCACCTGCAGGCCTCAGCGGGCCCCAGAAACTGCAGGGCCGCTCTAGCATCGTTTCTGAGACAGTGTCTCTTGAACACGGAAAGAGGCAACAAAAACGGCACCCGGAAACGGCGAACAAAAGGCTCAGATTTGGAACCGGAGCCGGAACCGGCAACAAAAACGGCGACGGGCCCGGAACAAAAAAACGGCGCTGGAACTGCCAAGAGAAAGGGGAAACGGAACGGGTAAAACATCGGGCCTGTCGTTTCCAAGGCAGCCCACGCTCTGGCAGCCCAGGCCAGCACTGGGGGAGCGACTGGCGTTTGCGTGCTAGTAGCCGTGGACATTGTTGGTCTTGGTGGAGGGCAAACAAGGGCCACGCCCGGCTCCCCTGGGGGCACCTTCTTCTGGGGGCACTGCTGGCCTTACCCCACTGAAGACGGGGCCTCACTGAGGTTCCCGTCTTCGCATGAGGGATAATACATCTGGGCGTTTTGGTCTGGTTTGATTTTGGCCCTCCTATTTTAGGTTCCCTCCCAAAGGGTTACACCGCACTCACTTCTATACCCCTGGGTGGGTGTACGTGCGGCCGTTTTTGCGCGGGCATGTGCGTGCATGTGCGCAGCATGTGCCAGGCATGTGCCCAGCATGTGCGGGCGCATTTACATGTGCACATAACCCCGCACGTGCCCGGGCATGTGCGGGGTTATGTGCACTGGGTTTTGCATGCATTGTACGCACATGCCCGCGCATGCCGGCGCACATGCCGACGCACATGCCCGCACATGCGGAATTTGCGCGAACGTCGCAGATCGGTCAATGGCACATACACGCACATACGCTGAACCCCGCGCCCGCATATGCTCGCTCGTGCCGATGCACATGCACGCACATGCCCGCACATGCGGAACACGTGCGGAACTCGCAGATCGTTCAGTGGCACATGCACGCATTTGCTTGTGTCCTCCCCCTGCGGACGACAGCGCGGGCCCGCACATGCACGCACATGCGCTGAATCCCGCGCCCGCACATGCTCGCACATGCCGATGCACATGCACGCACATGCGTTCTCGGAATTGTCAGGGCTCCCAACTACAAGGGCCTTCAGCGCTTCGTGACCTTCGGGGCCTGGGGGGGTCCCACAGTTTCCCGCGGCAACAAGACTCTGGCCTCGGAGATGCCGTGCCCTATTGTGGTGAGGTCATTTTGGCTTGAGGCATTCTCGCAACGCTGACCTCCGTGATGTCGTGTCACAGAGTGGTCTGGCTTTTTTCGCGTGAAACATCCTCGCAACCCTGGGTTCGAGATGCCTTGCGCTGAGGTGGTCAGGCCACTGTCGCCTGAGACATCCTCGCAACTCTGGCTTCAGAGATGCCCTGAGCTCAGTTGGTCCATCCACTTTCGCCTGAGTCATCCTCGCAACTCTGGATTGCAAGATGCCTTGACCTGCGGTGGTCAGCTTACGTTGGCAGTGTGGTCTGAATTCTGGTTTCCGAGATGCCCTGAGCAGGTGCTCAGGTCACTTTCACCAGAGACATCCGCGTAACTCCAACATCGGAGATGCCCTGCGCTGAGGGTGTCAGGCAACTGTCGCCTGCGACATCCTCGCAACTCTGGGTTCAGAGATGCCCTGTTGTTCATCCGCTTTCGCCTGAGACATCCTCGCAGCTCTGGTTCCCGAGATGCCCTGCGCAGGTGGTCAGGCCACCCTCGCCAGAAATATCCTCGCAACTCTGACATTGGATACGCCTGACCTGCGGTGGTCAGGTCACTCTGGCCTGAGACATCCTCGCAAGTCTTGTGTTGTCAGACTGTGCATAGGACTGTGCGGCATTTGCGCGCATGTGCGGCAGTGCTGTTTAGGCTTTTGTGGGGTTGCATGGGCATGTGCATTCGACTGTGCGGCATGTGCCTGCATGTGCGGCCCCTTCTGGACTTCAATCTGCATGTGAGCACTATAGAAGTGAGCGCTATAGAAATGAGACCGGTGTGGGGGTACCTTTCTTTCTTATCCTCGGCCTTCTCCAAGCGGGTGAAGAGGGGCGATAACAAAAAGGACAGTCGGGCCACGTTTGAGGCCGAGGCTTGGCACGGGATCGTCCCGCAAGGCATGGTCAAAGTCGTCCCTCTGAGTGGAGCGGTTCCTCGCGCTGCAGGCCTCGCCCGGCCGGGACGGCGAGGAGGCCCCCGATCCGAAGCGGGCCAAGGCATGAGCCTCCCGGTCCGTCGAGGTGGCTGCCAGGGAGGGTGGTCGAGGCCCGTGGGGCCCGCTGCCAGATCCGCTGCCTGCGAGAGTCGGCGCTTGCGCTCGGAGCCAGGCCGCGCGCGTGGCGGCGAGAAGAAAAGCAGAGCCCTCAAGAGCAGTAGATGAGAGGGATGAAGGCGATGCGGAGGAGCAGGAGGAGGTCGGACGCGGACGCGGCCTCTTTCTGGGCGGCCGAGCTGCGGGCCGCCGCGGTAGCCCAGCTGGACCGGGGCGCCGTCCAGGTGTTTGCGGTCGGCCACCGGGTCGCCCGGTTCTCGTTCACCTTCGTCGCGATGTTTTTGCTGATCCGTTTGTGTGCATGCGTGTTGGCGCAAGTCAGTTTGGCGCTGGCAGGTTGAGCGGAGTTCTGCATTCTTCACGCCAGCCGTTTTTTATGCAGAGCCTTGGAGTATCAATCCTTACCGGGTGCAGGGCACGCGTCTTTCCGCGTTATGTTGTTGTTGTTGTTGTTGTTGGTTCTCTTGCCCCTTTCCAGCTACTGCTGCTGCTCCTGCAGCTACTACAACGAAGGCTCTCGCAAGTATGTGTACATACTCACTGCAAATCCGTCTACGTCTGAACTAGAGCTGCCACCACTCCAGAGCCTTAGCCAAGATGTGCACCAACGACTGCTTCGGGCACCGTTCTCTGCCGCCAATTACGCACACCTCTCGTCAACCGAAGTGTCGTCTTCCGCATCCCCTGCCTCTCGTGTATACCCTTCGTGATCCTACTTCCCCTGATTGCATATCCATCTGCTCCAGCACACCCTGAAGGGGAGGCAATACCACCACCAGAGGGTCACCTTGGGCTAGTGGGTCCACGATGTCTCCCCGAGCTGGAGACGGCAGATGCCTCGAGGGTGAGGGGGCGACAACACCAGGGCCCTGCCTGGCGCGCTGCGCTGGTGTTGGTAGTGCGGCTTGTCCTTGTTCCTGCAGCCTTCACCTCGTTCCTGCCCGCGTCATGACATGTTTGCGTACCTCTGTGCCCACCATGTCCAGATGGGTCTCAGTATGTGTGCCCTCCCTCCTCGTCTTATTCTTCATTGCTCATGGCCTCTGGTCCCTCTCGGTCCTCGGCCTTATCTCATCCTTATCCTCATCGTAATTCTGATACGTTCGCTCCGCTTCCCAAT